GCACCTGCAGCTTAAGAAAAGAGGTCAGTAAATTGGAATTACACTCTTTATGAAAATACAGATTAAATATGGATTAAAACCCCAAAGACACTCAGGTTCATAACTGACTTAGCTGATATTATCTCATGATAAATGAAGAAGAGCAAATTATCAGTAGTGTTGACAGAAATGGCTTAATTTTGGTTCAATTGAATTTGCTTAAAACTTATTAGTTAGAATAAATTGTAGATTGAAATAAAATATTTTGGTACTTGAAATAATTTACGCTTCACTAAATTTTGCTAGCTCTTTCAAGAATTATTACAAAAAGAGATTAAATACTTTATCATAAGCAAAAGCCAAATGTTAAGGCATTCAGAATCTTCCAAAGTGAGTGGGCCCCCTGTAAAGTAGTAACTTGGAAGCTTGTCATAAAAAACTTCTGTTGTTTATGGACTAATCAGGCACTGAAAAAGAAAATCTGTTGCAGGTGTAGTCAGTTTAGATAAGGCAAGCTGCATCCACATAGGCTAGTTTTGGAGGAATATAGCAGACCACTGAAAATGACTTCCTTAATCTACATGGAATGCGGTTATTACCAACAGAAGAGCCTGGCCAGTGTTGACTTTTGTTTTTTAGTCACAGAACATCTTCACATTTGTTTTGGCTTACCATGTATCGGTGTTGGAGGCTTTAAAATAGAGAACATTTTTATAAAATTCTAAAATGCCAAACTGGAAGAATTTTTATAAGCAGTCAAGTCCAAAACACTATTTCTAAATATGAGTAAATGTGGGGTAAACAAATTAGATGACAAACAAATTCATCCACCAGGTAGTGTCAGTATTTGTATAATAAACAATATCTCTTAGTTCACACTTCAGAACTTTTCCCCACAGCCTCTGATGGAAAGTGAAAGCCTTAAACAACTTTACATTTATTTTAGTTAACATCTATTTTTCAGCTAAGCACTCCAGGCACATAATTGAAAGATCAATTAGTACTAAATGTGTATAACAAGTAAAGAGCTATTCCTCATCCCTCAGACTTCCACATCCAACTTTTTTCTGGCTTCCGTCAATTCTTGCCATTGAGAGGCACAATTCCTTTTTTTATTTCTGCTTCTCTGTATGTGACCTATTCCTCCATATTTTCCCCTGTTCTTTAGAATTTTCTCATCTGTAGTGTTTGAAATTTTGTGTGTGCATGTGTGTGTGTGTGTGTATGTGTAGGGAGTGTGCTGGGTAGGTTTCCCTTTGTTGAATACAATATCCCATTTCAATAAAGGAAACATGTTAGTTCTATAAAATTTCCCTCCCCTCAATTTTATCTCTTCTATTTTTGTAGAACTTCTATTACAACAAGTTTGGGCTCTTGAATTGAATTCCGAATTTTCTTACTCTTTTTTTCCTCTCCCATTTTCCTTTTCTATGGCTTTTTCCTTCTATAGCTTAGATATTTTCATCACTTTTCTCTCCAATTTCTTAATTTTAAAAATGTTTATTGTATTTTTTTTTCTTCATAATCTAGTGTTCTTTCTCTGCAAATACTAATTATAAGGGTTACAATAAATAGAAAGGTATTTAGCTTTTTTTACATCCCTCAATAACATATTGAATTTTTCTGTGGGGTTTTTCTGTAAAGGTCATTTACACATCTTTTGTGGGATTTACTGTTAAGTAGATTAGGGTTTTTGTTCTATTGTCACTAGTATGTATTTTCTGTTTTTCTTTTTTTAAATTTATTTTTAATTTTATTGCTATTTTCCTATTTAGCCTACAGAAATACTATCGATTTCATATGTTAAAATTGCATAAAGTAATCTTGCTGAACTCCAGTGTTCTGTTGTTTTAGATTCTCTTGGATTTTCAATTATGACAAGCATATTATATGCAAATAACTAATATCATGGTAATATTTATACCTAATTTCTGTTTCTTGTCTTTTTGCTTTGACTGCAAAACTAAGCCTGGATATGTTAATAGCAATGGTAATAGAGAGCATCTTGCTCCTGTTCCTGAGTTTAATGAATATGTTTCTAAAAGTTTACTCTGAAGTATTATATAATTTTTGGTAGATATCCTTTACCAGATTAAGGATGGTCTCTTCTCCTAAATTTGCTAAATTTTTAAATCATAAAACAAGTATCAAATTTAATCAAATGATTTTTCTTTATATATTGAAAATGATAATTTGGCTTATACTTTTTATTAATATTTTTTCATTACATTAAACAACAATCGCATTTGAACCATCTTTATATTTCTTGTAAATCATCAGTATTATTGGTTTTTCCTTTTGCCTCAAATAACAATATGGCTCAGTTACTGACCCTGTCTTTAAAAAAATTTTATATTTTCATCATGGATATTTGCTTTATTTTTGATTTATAAAAATACTACATTACAGTATATTTATCTTACTGAGTTTGTTTATGTCCCTTCAAACTTTGTGCCTGAGGCAAGTGTCTCACTTGTCTCACTCTACTCCCAGCCCTGCCAGTCAGATCACATATTTCAGATAGTGCTGATACCAACCAGATATTTGGGACTAAATTTGTGAATCAAATCTGGTCAGTCAGAAAGTTACATTTCTCTAAACATGGCATTTGGCTCAAGGCTGGCCATAAGACATTTGGGTCAAAGAGAGGGAGGCCAGGATTTGTTTTTGTTTTTAAGTTAAGATTTTTATTATTATTATTACTGCTACTACTACTATTATTATTATTAAAGCAGTTTTAGATTCACAGCAAAATTGAAGGTAGAGTTTTCCCATGTCTCCTCTACCATAACACATGCATAGCCTCTCCCATTATCATTATCCCTGACCAGAATGTTACATTAGTTACAGCTGATGAACCTACGTTGACACATGATCACCCAAGGTCCATAGTTTACATTATGGTTCACTCTTGCTGTTGTACATTCTATGTTTGGACAATATATAATGACATGTATCCATCATTATAGTATCATACAGAGTATTTTCACTGCCCCCCAAATCCTCTGTGTTCTGTCTATTCATCTCTTCCTCCCCCATGCCCCCAACCCCTGGTAACCACTGATATTTTTACTGTCTCCATAGTTTTGCCTGTTCTAGGCAAATGCCATATATTTGGAATCATACAATATGTAGCTTTTTCAGATTGGCTGTTTTCACTTAGTAATATGCATTAAGGTTCCTCCATGTCTTTCCATGGCTTAGTAGTTCATTTCTTTTTCGTGCTGAATAATATCACATTGCCTAGATGTAACAGAGTTTATCCATTCATCTACTGAACCACATCTTAGTTGCTGCCAAGTTTTGGCAATCATGAATAAAATTGCTATAAGTATCTGTGTGCAAGTTCTTACATGAACATACATTTTCAACTCCTTTGGGAACACCAAGGAGCATGATTACTGGATGGTATAGTAAGAGTATGTTTAGTTTTGTAAGAAATTGCCATGCTGTCTTTCAAAGTAGCTATACTGTTTTGCATTCCTACCAGCAATGAATGAGTTGCTCTTGCTTTACCACATCTTTTCCAGCTGTTGGTGGTGTAAGTGTACCTTATGCAACCATCCTAATACGTGTGTAGCTCACTGTTGTTTTAATTTGCATTTCCATGGTGACATATGATGTGGAGCATCTTTTCATAAGCTTGTTTGCTGTCTGTATATCTTCTTTGAGGTGTCCGTTAAGGTCTTTGACCCATTTTTAATAGGGTTATTTGTTTCCTTATTGTTGAGATTTAAGAGTTCTTTGTATATTTTGGATAACAGTCCTTTATCCAATGTATGTTTTGTAAATATTTTCTCCCAGTCTGTAGCTTGCCTTCTAAGCTCTTGATATTTTGCAGAGCAGAAGCTTTTAATTTTAATGAAATCTAGCTTATCAATTATTTCTTTCATGGATCATGCCTGAGGTCAGGACTTTATTTCAATTCTTTGAGGTAAGAGAGTACAAACTTTTCTAGAAAACTTTACTCTGAGAGGATGTGGGACTTAAATTCTGGAAGTCATCTTGAAATCCTGTGAGATTAGAAAATAAAGGCAAAAAATGTTGGGCAGCAGAATCAGAGGTGAAGATAGATTGAATTCTGATGACAATATGAGGCCCTGAATCCAACCATAATGCAGTCAGATACCTTTGACTTTTTCAATTTTTGTGATAAAAAATATCCCTGTTTTGTTTCAGACTGTGTGGGCCAGAATTTTTCTCATTTGTAAGCAAATTGATGAGGAGATCATACCTGTTGTCCTAAAGCTCTATTTTATTTATTGTTACGTTATATGATTAAATGCCTGTGCACCTCTCTCTCTTTGGTAAGATGAATTATCATGTATTATTACTCCCTTTAAAAGTGGTCTGAATAATCCTAGCCAAGACTTCAGCTATGTGGTTAGAATAGTTCAGAGGTTGGGCCTGAGCGGCTGACAAGATCAAGGTTTCTGGTTCTGCAAAGCAGAATGCAGGGAAGGCAACTAAGATGTGTCCATGTTCAAGTCCTTGAGAAAGAACTAAAAGTCAAAAATTGGAGAGAGTAAATACAAACGCTAACTTCATGAAAACGAGACAAGAGCAGGAAGAGCTGGTGAAAAAATCAGAAAGTCCCCTAAATAATTGGTTACTTTAATGTCATATTCTTCCTTCTTCTGGTATAAAAATTGGACAGGCCTCCTTCAATAGTCAGGATCGGAAGTCATTTATATAATATATTGTCATATGATATATATTTAAATATATTTGTACAAATATGAGATGATTGGTAGAAATATATATGGAATAAATTAAATGTAGAATATATGGATTATAAGGCATAGCACACTAATTTGCTGAGTAAGAAATCATAACACATGGATGCCCATTTATAACTGAAAGGATTATTAGCAAATTCCAATTAAAGGAGGTAAGTAGAGTGGAGCTTGTGGAATAATTTTTTTCTTTGTCTTAGAACTCTTTATCTTTGGAATAACTGAAGAGCATTAATTTTTATTTTTTGAAGTATAAAAAACTCATGAGTATAACAGTCATACTTTACTATTCAGGATAATATATTTTATTTCTTATACTGTAAAAAATAAAATCATTTGAGCAATTTTCAGCATACATGGTTAATTTTGAACAGAGAATAAACAAAGTCGGTAAATAAGCATTATATGCTGTATAATGTAATTCTATATAAAATTCACAGTTAGATGCATTTGATTATGCAAAATAAGGGAAAACAATACCACCAGCGACAATCTTACTTAAAAACACAGTAAACATAATATTCACATGCATTAAACATTGCAAACCATCTCTCAGTGTGTGTCTTTCTTGACTAAGTAATGAAGCCATGAATAGTTGTTGGCGAAAATAGTCAACTCACCAATGTGCTGTTTATATGTCCTTGGTAGCAACTTGCAACTTGACCTAGGGAGACTTTACCCTTTATTTAAAGCTATTGCTATCCATGTATAAAAGATAACAGGAATATTTCACAAGAGATTTTGATTTCCAAAAGTTCCAAATTGCACAGCAGAGACTCAGTTTAAGGCAGTTACTTATGTATGAATATTTGAAATCAAGATATAGAAATTTTCTTAAGTGAACAAATTGACACTATTTTTCAATGATATAATTTTTATGCCATAGGGTGTATATTAGAACTTTTCATATTATGCCTCAAAATACAGTGATTTTATAGTTCACATCAGCTGTACCCTGACTTCACATGAATGGTCTGGAGGGGATCATATTTTTAAATAAAAAATCAGCATGAATAAACTAAGTAATTAAACATATATTCAGTGATCAGTGAATACCACTTTAAATTGAAATAGTCATGAAAGAGTAGTGTAGGTAAGTGCAAAAATATATATAAATATATCAAAATTGAGGGATGGGGTGGGGTTAAGTACCAATTACTGAGTCATCGAAGGTTTGAGTGGTGGAGAAATATATGAATTAATTCTTAAGTGGTTTCCAAGGTTTGGGGAAGGAAAAGGAGTGAATAGGTAGAGCAAAGAGGATTTTGAGGACAGTGAAAATACTTCGTTTGATACTGTAAATGGTGGAATCATGTCATTACACATTTGTCCAAACCCATAGAATGTACACCAAGAGTGAACTATAATGTAAACTGTGGACTTAGAATGATTATGTTTTGTCAATGTAGTTTCATCAGTTGTAATAAATGTCCCACTCTGTTGCAGGATGTTGATAATGGTGGAGGCCATGCATGTGTAGGGTCAAGAGTTTTTGGGAAATCTTGAAATGTCCTCTCAATTTTGCTGTGAACCTAAAAGTGCTCTAAAAAAATAAAGCTTAAGGAAAAATTTAAAAAAGAAAAGAATTAAATTAATAATGATATGAAGAATGAAGTAGATGTAAAAAGCCTGGGAGTTAGATGAACTTTATGAAAAAGGAAGCGTTAGTGTTTAGAAACTGATTGGAAGTAGTATATGAGGGAAAATAAGAAATCAAAATGGGTTCAAACTTTCAAACCTGAGGAGCAGGCAGAATTATGATACTATTGCTAGAGAGAAGTAATTAAGCTAAACTAAATGGATAAAGTGGTTAGTTGTTTCTAGATGACAAGTTCAAATTTTAATGTGAAATTTGAAGTGAACATCATAGAATCTGAAATATCTAGAAGGCTGTTGAGATGTCAGACTGTACATGACTCAGCAGAGAAGGAAAGGTATAGATCTGGATAAAGTGAATTAACTCCAGAGAAATGTTAGTTAAAAACCTGAGAGTGAATAACACATATGTTTTCTAGTAGAATCTTCCTTGCTGATAATTTTCTCTTCCTTTTCTACAGAAATAACATGATTTTGTTTTAAAAGCATGAATTACTGGTTGCTTTGTGTGCAAAGCCTAATTATAAATGAATAGGTTTCAGGAGTTTTAAATATACTTGCTATTTTTGGTAAGAGAAAAGTTTGTCAAGCAATAAAATTAGGAAGTACATAAACAATTTCCTTTTGATTGCCACTAAGAAATTCCCTTTCCCACCAAGTCTTTTCTTATCATGATCTGTATTTAACACACAGCTATTCAGCCGTCTTTACTGATATGATGAGCCATAAGCAAATAAAAGTTACATCAATCAAAATCAGGCAGGCACATGACGTAGAGTTGACTTTCTTTGTTCAGATATGGTTTGGCTCAAGATTGTTCAAGGTACTGGTTAATGCAAAAGGAGAAAAAGTATGTCTAGGGAGGGAATCACATGACAGAATTCTGTTATTACCAGCTCTTTCCAAATGAGTGATCTTTCCAAATTGAGTGATCTTTATCAGAAGAAGATGCTTGCCACTATTTTAGATGTGAAACCCCAAAACCACTTGATCTTTAATAGTTGTATTTCTTAATCTGGGCATAGGCTGTAAAAAATATAATTGTATACATGATCAAAACAAATAAGTGACAACATATTCTCAAATAGGATGATCACCAAATGGTAAAATGGACTGATTTGATGTCAGTTGTATGATAAATTGTAGTTATGGCAGATAGTTAGAAAGGGATTGAGAGAATAATAAGTTCATAGTAGACAGTTAATAAGTTATAGCCATAGAATAAGCAATTTGACCAGATAAGTAAAGGAACTCTGATGCAAATGCATTAAGAGCAGGTAATATATGCATAGAAAATTCATGAAAAATTCATTAAAAAGATTTCAGGTGAGAAAAAATAGGAATCATAATGAAAAGTTTTATCCAAAATATTTAGTAGAAATAATGTTGTAATGTAACAAATTTATATCTTTTTAACAAAAATTTCTTCATATACTATTTTCACTGGCTGCTTCTTTCTTTTTCTTTTGGTTTTAATTAATCCCCCTTTTGATATTCTTTGGATAAAACCTAAAAAGGAAGATAAATAAATTTATGCATGATAAAGTAACAACATAATAAAACATTTAATCTAAAATTTCTTCAAATTATCTTTTAATGTTTAAAACCAAAAAACATGTAACTGGTTTAAAAGTCTTTAATTTGTCTATATCTTTATGTAAACAACCTCTTTCTAAGGATGTCACTTTGCATAAATGGGTAAACGTTATTGATTTTTATTATTCACCTTGAGCTACAAAATAATACTCATTTTATTAAAGTGGACATGTGGCTATGTAGAGTTATAGATGATTTTTATTTACATATTAATACTCTATAAATATGCAACATTTTTATTGTCAGAAGAAAATAAATACATTAAAGTTTTGTGCGTTAGAAAGCTTAAAGATATTTTGGTATAATCCTTTAAAATGAAAGCTTAGTATGTAAATATTAAAAGAATAAAATATTTTGTTTAAAATTGATTTTTTTCTATGAAGACACATTAAAAGGAATTACAGTTAACATATCTGGTAATATTATCAAAATGTAGTTGAAAAGGAGACAGTTAAATAATAATACTGTTTCTTATCATAAATAGAACTCATTTCATACTTTCATAGATTAAAATTCATTCATAATTTCAATATAATTATTATCTTAAACACTAGTGAATTAATAGGAAGAATGTCCTCTATACCTTTTTTACAAGTCTTAAGACACGCTTTTTTAGAGGTAAAATTGTTTTCATTCCCTCCACATCCACTGTACTTAAATGGGCGGCATTTCCCAATGATTGAATTGTAGTAGAATCTACTCTCATTGGCTTGACATAATCCTCTGTCTGCTGGGCTCAGACACCAGGAGGGGCCATAAAATTCTAAAAACATCAAGAAAACATGGTAAGCCATATATGATAGTTAATCTGAAACTTTCATATTTATTGTTTATAGATTAGTCTTGTGGCATGTTTATGTAAAACAGTAATCTGAATGAATTAAAGTAACAAAATTCATGTATTTCAATTCCAGGAAAATGTTTAACCAATCTCCAAGTGTCCACTTTACTGACACCTTTCTCCAATAAATGTAAAAGTAGGTACATTTGTTAAAGGAAAGTGCCGGGATTACTCTTTATGTGACAAAACTAGTTGTACATAATACAAACAACCACTATTCAACAATTTAATTTGTGAAAATTTATTAACCATATCAATTTTTTAAAAAATTATCATTGTTTACATATCATTTGTTCATGAGTATTCAACTTTGCAAAACAAGTCCTGATGAGCAAAATCCTTACTCATTGTATGACACAAACTGAAGCTGAGAAAGAGTTCTTTCCCTGACTAAAGTTCTGAATGATATAACATATCACAATTTAAAGCGCAGGGAATCAGGTATAGCAAATTCTAACCTTAAGCTTTGGAAAAGCTCAGAAGAGATGATCTGGCTTAGTAATAAAGTTTTCTTGTGAATTGAACCATCAGTTCTAGATGAGTTAGATATTTTTGCAAAGGAAGGAATATTGCTAAAGGCAGGAAAGATCAAACATTTACAGGTTTAAACCAGACAGACAGGCTGGTCTGTCAATGGGACCAACCACTTTCAAAAACAGAAGGAAAAAAAACATGCAATTAGGGTAATGAAAGGATAACTCATTTCCTTAAGGCGAAGCAGAAAAATGGTTTCAGCCCAATGATAATTTTTAGCTCCTTCTGGAATTCCTGTCAGTGAGGGGAAGCTGGTACTCTTCAGTAGCAGAGCTAAACTGCTTGATATTATTGGTAAATCAGTACTGCAGGTAAATTGGTGGATGGTCAGGAATCAATAAAAGAGAGCTTTAGTGGCTTTGCCAAATAGTGAGATGTGGTACAGCAAATGCAGATGAAGAGGATTTGCTAAATGTACATCACTGGCAGAAAATAGAACTTTGAGGAATCCAGTAGCAATGAAGGCAAATAGGTTGTGCAAAAAAGCAAGAAGTGGTTTGATGGCAAGTGAACCCCAGGTGAATAGACGAAAAGAGAAATAAAACAATTTGAGAAAAAAATGAAAAAGATCTTAAATTGATAAACACAATTTTATAACCTCCTGCCTTCTATGTATTTAAATATTAGAGTGTCTTGATATAACGTCTCATGTAAAGAGAAATTCTGGAACATATAAGAGAAGTAGTGGGAATACTATGGGAATAATTTATGATAAAACATTTTAGAAAGGTGACATTTTCTGTCAATTCAAGAACTGAAATCACATTAAAAATTTTTGTATTATTTAGTCTTTGACTAGGTGTGTAGACACTGATTTTTTTTTTTTTTTTTTTTTTTGCGGTACGTGGGCCTTTCACTGTTGTGGCCTCTCCCGTTGTGGAGCACAGGCTCCGGACGCGCAGGCTCAGCGGCCATGGTTCACGGGCCCAGCCGCTCCGCTGCATGTGGGATCTTCCCGGACCGGGGCACGAACCCGTGTCCCCTGCATCGGCAGGCGGACTCTCAACCACTGTGCCACCAGGGAAGCCCTAGACACTGATTTTAAAAGAAACTCCTAGGATCTATAAAACATCATTCAAAATCATGTAGTCTAATTTATGTTTGGCCTCACCCCATTTGGGGGTTACAGTGCATGATTATTGCCATCATAAATCACATTTAAAATGTACTTGGTGAGAATGTGTGCTTAATTTTTTAGAAAATGTCAAGGTCTTTTTGCCCCAACAATGGCTCAAGTAAGAGGAAATTTCTAACAACCTAGGAGAGATATGTTCTAATTGAGTCCAATATTGTGCAAGCTTTTCCAATAGGTATGTTGTGGATTCTCATTAATCCACAGCCAAGAATATGAGATGACGAGATGGTTATCAGTTGCCACCACTTCTAATTCCATGAGTCATCCAAAGTCATCACCTATGTTCAGAAACAAATGAAATACCCCACAAGCAATTAGCCTGATTTGAGAAACAGAGAAAACAGAGGAAATTGCTATTCTTTGAAAAATTATCCTCAGAAAGCACCCACAGATGCTTCATAGTATATGTGTAAGTATGATGATATGATTTATACATCAATTTCACTTTAGCATTTTGTACACAAGATGTCATTAGCCCACAGTAAGTTGAAAATAATAATATGGATGTACTTGTAAGTTGTACACTTCTTTTCAAATGTTAGTTATTATGTCTTAATAGCAATGCCCTACCTAAAGTTCCTTATTCCGGGACAGAGAGAGTTTTCTGATGACAGGGAGCAAAATCATCCTTCTTTTTGCTTAAAACCTAGAGTAAAACTGGCCCCATAACAAAATCAATGCCATTTCAACTTGAGCAAAAGTTGGCTTGGATATCTGGGGCTACAGTCCCTAGATTAAAGGTAACAAGGGATGTGTCTCTGTTACCACAGGCCAGGAGCCTCAAACATCTTGTGAAAGCTAGAACCAAAATGATCTCTCCAGTGGGATCTGAAACCATGGAGCATACACCACAGTTTTGGTGGAGAGAGGTACTGCAGCGTCTGTATTCCTTTGGCGACCCAGTCTTCCAACAGGTTGCCACTGAAAAGAGCATGTTTTGCCAACAGTTTGCCAAAGAAAGAGCATGAAGAAGGCAGGGGATTAGTTTGAAAGCAAACAGACAGTTGACAGCACAGATCCATCAGAAAGAGTTTTTCTACCTGTTAAATTGTCCCAGGCATCAGATTGCCTCTACCCGAAGCTCTTTGTGACTTCTGAATCAGAGGATGTGTGGAATGCTGCTTTCTGACAGCCTGGCATCTGGTGTGCAGACTTGAATTGTCCCTCTTACCAGATAGCAGCTCCTACTCAGAAAGTGTCTGTCCATGACTGACCCGATGACAGCTGTTTGTCTATCTCATTTATTTGTCCTGTTTTAATCACTACCTACACAGATCATCAAACACAACTCACATTTGACCCAGGTCAATATAGAGAAGTAAGAATATTTTGATTAGGGGGTTAAAGCTTGAAATTAATCACTAAGAATGTTGTATTTTAAATTTTAAAAATTATGTATTTAATAATGCAATAAATTATCATCAGTTGGGGAGTCTTCATAATGTCATTACTCTTCAGAAACATGAATTATACCCACTACATAAACTAATCTATTTCTTCTAAAATCATTTAAACTCTAAGCAGTTAAGATTCTCATTGGATTATTTTAGCATAAACAACAGAATTAAAATAATGAAGCAGATGGTTTCTCAAGGACATTTTAGCTCCAAGGATGTTTTGGGTCCTTGATTATCATTTGATTCAATCTCCAAAGGTGAGGAAATAGAAATATTTTTGCCCCCTGTGAGGAGATAAGCTTGACTGTTTTCAATTAACACATTTATTCTAGATAAACACAGTCACTCACCTATTCAAAATCCAGACTTTGATATCTACAGTGAAAGAAAATCTAAAGATTTTGAAGTAGTTGCACAATGTGATATTTTGGTCTAGATTATAATTATTCACAGAAATTTAAGATCGAATAAAAAGACGCTAACCTGACTTCTGTTCTTTTCCAAAGTAATTTAATAACCAAATGCATTCTGTCTTGATCTTGCCATTAATAACAATTTGGATAGCTTCCATTTAGAGGGTCTATGATAGATTTCAGAATTCAGGATCCACTTATATTCTGCCAGGAGCTGCCATGATGTAGTATGACTGGTAAACTATAAGGTGATGCTCCAGAGCCAGTTTTATATGTAAAGTGCCTTATGCAATTGCTTTGAAACTTATACACTAAACTTTGAATTTTGTACTCACTTGAATCTTTACTATGGTGTCTCTCTTACTGTCCCATTTTACATGCCTATATTTAGGCTTTTATTTTACCAACGAACTTAGGTTTTAGGAACTACCTCATCACTTGTTGAATAAATTATTTTTTGTCTTCTGAGATTGTTTTAGGGAATTGAATAACAAATCTTTCCTTTGAACAACAAATTCTTTTTTCCCATAATTTTATTGTGAAGAAAAATATAAAGATTTTTATTTTCTAATTATACTTTATCATTGTAAAATGTTGAAATAATATAAAAGTATGACAAATATAAAACAAAAGTTCTCCATAATTTGACCCTTGCCCTTTAAACCACCACCAGTGGTTTGGGAATATCTTCCCCCAAATCGTTTGCATATGCAAACATATTAGTATACTGTTCTGTCTCACTATTATATTTGATAATATTTTCTGGCTTGTTTCCACATTTCTTCATCTGTATATCTCATTCTTTTTTTTTTTTTTTTTTTGCGGTACGCGGGCCTCTCACTGTTGTGGCCTCTCCTGTTGCGGAGCACAGGCTCCGGACGCGCAGGCTCAGCGGCCATGGCTCACGGGCCCAGCTGCTCCGCGGCATGTGGGATCTTCCCGGACCGGGGCACGAACCCGTGTCCCCTGCATCGGCAGGCGGACTCTCAACCACTGGGCCACCAGGGAAGCTCTACTACCTCATTCTTTTTAATGTATGCACAGTATTTAATTTTTTGAATTGACTACAGTATACTTAATCCATTATTGTGTATACATAGATTACTTCCGTTTATTTTTTTCAGTTCCAGACAGTGGCTCATGAACATCCTTATATACTGGTTCAGATATTTCTAGGAGATATTTCTAAAATTAGAATTGTGCAAAAGCTATATTCAATTTATAATTTGGTAGATGCTGTTGCCTTTTCCACTAAAAGTTTATATAAATTTATACATTTACAATAGTGTTTAAAAGTGCCTAAACAATTTAACAAAAAGAAAAGTGCCGAAAAATTTTAACAAACTTGGACCTTACTGCATTGTATTTATTTACCATTTGTTGCTTTTATTTTCTCTTCATACCCACAAAAGTGGAAGTAATTGCTCATTACTCAAATGTTCT